ATGTGATGAAAAGGTGGAAACGGTCGTATGATATCTGCATCGTATTAGAACAAATATGGCAATGCGAATATCGATCCTAGCGTCTCTCGACGAGGCCGACTTGATTTCGAGGTCACCGGGACTGACAATCGGGAGCCGCAACCCTCACTCTCGATCTCGTTAATCCGTTTGACTTGTGCAGTGTACTTACGTCCTATGAATTACCAGTGACTACATTAAAATACATTTGTGCCTAAATATCCTAAATATGATGATGGGTTTTTATCAAATCGAATGTGATTTATAAATTTGCGGTATACAGATCAGTATGGATAATTTATTGATAGTTCAGTTTGAAGGTATCTTAAATTTTACAATATATTTTATTTGTAATAATTTATTTATTGCAGGCAAATCTCCAGATATCTTTTTAGACAAGTCCCCTTTTTTACAAGAAAATCGAAAATTTTTTAATTACACTTTATTATAATCTCTTGATGTTTTACAATAAAAGTCTTATTATAAATGGCCACGCTTTGAATGTTTTTTTACTTCTCTCAAAAATGGAAAAAGATTATAGATTCAAAATTTTATTTTGTTTTGAAATAACAAATACTTTTTTTCCTGCTGAGCAATGGTACTGCTGAGTTTTGCAAAAATATCTAATAGGAAATTTATAGATATTTTATCTTATAGAGTTATAAAACTTATAGATATCACTTCTATTTTATAAAAATTGTTGAAAATAATTTTTCACAACAATACTACATTTGAAATAAAATTCCTCCATATAATTAAATCTTTTACTATCATCTATAAAGTAATGTGACATTTATCGTAAAATTAATTGCTATTCATATATATGTTATTTATATTTTCTTTTAGTGTTCGAACATTCAACAGAAAATTACTTTTATAACGCAAGGAAAGGAAAGTAATTATATCACGTATCTTTGTGAATGTGCTACATACATCTAATTTATTTTCTACTATACTTAAATTGCATTAAATTCATGCAGTTGCGGGACTCCTGCAGAGTTCTAATATCAGTTAACCTCGATTTCTATACTAAATAAACTTTTAAATCTTATCACTGCTTTTGAAAGTCAAAAACTTTCGCATATGAACAACTGATCATTTGGTAGCAGAAAAAGTAACACACAAATGTAAATAATAGAAATTTTATTAATAACAATTATGTAACTTCCTGCAAAGCTTGAAATTTTAGTGGAACACTACACACTAAGCTCAAAATACTCAGGTGCTCGCGATATTTAAGACGTTCCAATTTTAAACTGTCTATTAATTCCCGAATTACATTACATAAGTTGTGTGCAGACAACAGGGCTCATTCACTAATTGCGTGCAATTTGCAAATATAAGTAGTCTTACAATCTCGATATATGTACCATTAGTGTTTTTAATTGTGCTTATTAAGACGAAATTTAAATGTATCATATACATTAGCATTTCAATATCAATGATTTCAGTATTAACAATATATATAATTAACAATTCATATAACATATTGCAAAATATTACGAAAGAAATGTTGAACATTTTCTTTTTCAATTTTGGTTTTATTTTAGTCTTATAACCATTTCATTATTGAAATATTATTCCATTGGTCTTATATAATCGTTTCATTATTGGAACAAAATTTTGATAACGCTTTGATTTTTTCTGATTAAAATAAACAGTAATGATTATATTTAGCACATTGGTTTTACAAATACATTTGTTTTGTACGATATCGCATATTATTGCATTGAACGTAGGCCGAGTGACATATTAATATTCTCATTTCTCCATCTTACGATTTTATTTTTTCCCTCCTCTCGTGTCTCAGTCGGATGAAAATAGTATAGTAGAAACAGGCTAAGGCCGAGCGATCTGTATTGGTTAATTTTACAAATAAAAGGTAGAATGTAGAGAATTTAGAGAATTTTAGTCCCAAAAATAATTATTTAAAACTAGAATGCTTAAGAAACTTTTATTTTTTAAACTGAAATGTCAAAATCAATCATAATTATTCTTGTACATATAATTCCAATACTTATTTTATAGGTATAATTACAAACAGTTCTTAAATTGCAATTTATGTCGCAACATTTTAAACGTGCATCGTTTTTCTTATTCATACGTGAAGGATCTGTAATATTGCAATCACTAGATTAAATATTTTAATGAGGTATGATCGAAACGAAATATCACCTTATTTGTATACGTATGCATACTTTTGCATTCTACGAAAAATATCCATACTTGTGTGAGTTATGAGTACAACTGAATATATATCAGATATATCTATCTAAAATTTATTGAAAAATATTATTATTGCTAATAATTCTTTTGTGATTTTGCATATTTCTGAATTAACTTTATAATGTTGCTGATAACAAAAAAGAAATTTAGATAAAAATATACATTGATAAGAAAACTGATTTATTAATTGAAAAATATATTTAAGTACAAATAAATGATTGTTTATTTTTCTAAGAAGAAATTAGATTTATCTCATGTTTTTAAACATCTCTCTTATGTTTGTCTTCTTTCTTGCTATAGAGTATAGATGTTATCTTGATATACGCGTTTGCGAGAAAAATATTTTCTAGGTACTTGTCGTTTTGCTTTGTAACAATAGTTAATAATAAATAGAAATAAATAAGACAACAAGAGATCAAAACTTTTCACAATAACATTTAAATCTTTACTGTCATATTTATAATGCATAAACTCGATAAAAATGAATAGGCCAACTCGTATGCGCGTTTTTCGCACAAGTTACTAGTACATATAGTACAAAGCTATGAAACCCACCAAACAATATAATCCATATTTTCTATGATATTAAATGATGAAAACGAGTATTGAATCACACTAAAATGAGAAAAAATTCAAAATAGACTCGCAATTAATCATTCTCTACTGATTATTTAATCTCACTTATGTATTATAGTCACTAGTAGGTTCGCCTCTACCATGACATACTGTAATCTAGGTTGTTATATCTAGTCTTCCTAGACAATTTTGCGGTCATTTAAACAGGTCGAGGAACCTACGGGGCTGGTGCCACAGACCACCTCTCTCTCTCTCTCACGACAGTTGCATCGCGAGCTTTTCGCGACGAATCGCTTCTGGGTTAATTCAGTAAGATCTAGACAGTGATTCAAGTAACTCAACTGATTTGAGGGGGGATGATCATTTTTTCGTTATTATACATCGTATAATTAAAATACGATTAGTGATCTATTAATAAGTGACAACGGTCTGGTGCCTTTAAATGTTGCTTCGATGAATTTAAATTTACGATGTTGCTTTTGTCACAATTATACAGCAAAGTTACTACATCAAGATAGTGATTGACGAGTATTCGAGTATGATTCGAGTTATCTGAACATATATACTTACTTAATCTTTCGATATTAAATAGGTTTTTCAAAATTACAAAATTTCTATCTTATCATCTAGTGTCATTGCATCCTCTAAAGTTAACGACAACTTTGAATGTTCTGACCCTATTGTTAGTTTAAATTTCGGGTTGTTTGTTTTAAAGAAATGTCTAATCTCGTCTGTAATACGATAGTGACTTATAAGCGATTATTTGGAGTGATGTTACATGCCATATTTTCCAAGTTAAAGAGAAAAATTGAAGTATTACGTACATTTTTTATGACGTATAATTTATCAGTTTTAGATCTCTATTTTTTTTATTTAAGAACAATGTCATTGTTTCTATAATTTTATTTCTTATATTTATAATTACAATAACTGCAGTATTGTATGCGTGACAAACGCAAAAGACGTATGTGAAAAATTATCTTTTGATAAACATACTTATGTATATATAGTTTTAAAGTGGAGTATGTTTGATATAAAAATATTTCCAAAAAAGCAATAATTTAATTGTATATATACAATTAAATTGTTGCTTTTTTGGAATATATATATATATATATGAAGGGAAAAAAGATGATGCAGAAGAAGAAGAATGGAGAAACCAACGAGGTCTGCACACATTTTCATTAGTCCTATATTATATTATTTAATTGAACATTTCAATTAATTGTTAATTAATTGTTAGAAGAAAGGTAACGAAAATAGAAAAATATATGTTACTTAAAATTATTATCCTTATTACTATCATATTGTTCTATGTGGACCTTGGCTTTCTTATTGGTTTCGTTACAGTTACAATTTTCGTAGGAATTGTGTATTTTCAGGATCAGTTGTAATCTTCTTCCTCTCTTTGCAATTTTCGTTACTTTGGAGGACTGGATTTATTTTGAAGTTTGCTTATTGTTATTATTTAAAAATTTTTATTCTCAAGAGACGACAGCGATTTATCCTTAGTTAATCTTAAAATTAAATTTACGTTTTGTGTACTTTTGTTTCTATCATATGGAATATTATCCCATTAAAAATTTTTAGTGTCATATGTATGAGATAATTATGATTTTTGCATCAAATCTTTTAGATGGATTTAATAAACAGTAACTAATAACTAATAAGAAATAACTTGAGCACTGCTATCAGCAACATCTCCCCAAGTTATTGAAAATAATATCTAATAATATATAAATCTCTCTATGCAATCTTCTCGAAGAAGATCGCTAATGGAATTTATTGGAATTTCTTACGTCTCTACGTTCCTTAAAATAATAAAACAAAATAAATAACAAGAAATATACAAAGTGTCTTTCCTTATTTAAGTTAAGTAGAACTTGAAAAATTTTGTGCGCGGTATATGTTTTTTTTTTTAAATTAATACAAACGTTGAATTGTTGAATTGAAACGCGCACAAATTTTAATAATATAAGTGTAGAAGGAAACTGCATTATTTGCAATTAATTTCACGTGCACTTTTATATCGAGATAACGTGCATTCCCCACCCATTTCTCTTAGAAATACATTAACATACTAAAAAATAAGAGATATCAATCCAGCATGGAACAACGAGCGAGAACGAGACATAAGAGACAAAATCAACGAAGAGGGGATAGAAATGTCCATCTCCTCTCTCCCGTATCAGCGCTCAGCAGTTAACATTCAGTCTCCTCGTGACTACTGACGTTTGTGTAGTATAATCGCGTCCCTCATATCACAATCGGTGCTGTCGCATTCTCGTTACTCGTTGCTTCTGCATGGCACATGTACATACGTTTTAACGCATGCTAAAGCATTTGAGATAATTGAGATACCTGCAGCAAACAAGTGTGTAGTACGTGCACGTGTGCTTGCGCGCGTACCAACTTTTTCACTGTACGTAACCTCGCCTCGCCCGATGTTGTCTCTGGCCGGCCATCGTCGATAACGAACAAGTGGAGTTTCAGTTTAACTTATTGTTAAGCAGCAGCAGCAACGGCAATAGCAGTAGCAATATGCCGACTACGAGAGTACGTGTGTTTGTTTAAAGAAGATAATCGTTACCTCGGTTTTAAAACATACGTAATGTTGAACAGCGGTAAATTAAGTACAAGGCGAGAAAAGGACTCATTTCGATCTTTCTGCTTTAATTTTTTCAAACGTTATCTCTATTGATGTATTATGTACGCGGGATGTTTCTAATTTGATCGTCAGAAATATTATTTCCGTTGATATTTGTAGTACGGGAAAAATATGTGTAAGAAATTTATTTGGTCTATATTATAATTTTTCCTTATTTATTTTCTATGTATCATATACAGCTAGTATGTGTGGCAACAGAGATATTCAAATACAAATGATCAAATTAAGCAAATATTAATGATATTAAAGAGTATAATTTTTTTCGTACTACGCAAATTTCTTATAATCTTTTAAATTTGTTACAAATTTTCAAGTACAAGTATAAATATGTGTAATACCAGCCCTTCGATTGCAAATTTGCTTTCTTAATTCCAAAATGAACATGAGCTATTATATCGTGTAATTGAGTTACGATTGACGTCACGATTACATTTTAATTACGGAACATGCCTGAATTTTATACGAACAGTAAAACTAAAGAGGATCGAAACAGTTGTAGCGTTCTTGCAATCATTGTGTCAACAATCATAATTGACTTAAATATTATATTAAATTTACGCTTTGATTTTAATCGGTTTTTTTTCTCTATGGTGCTTTTAATATTGAATGATTTTGTGTCTTCGGTTCTTCTGTCAATGTTGCATGCTCTTGATTTCCAAATCTTCCATCAAGAAGGAAGAAGAGAAGGCAGGCGACCTCATGTACAGATAGGTTATCGTTTTTATTACGTTGGCAAACCCACGTGATGCTCACGCAACTCCTGCATTGGTCGTTCATTATCTTTTTCTATATCACAAATTCTCAAACGTCTTACATAAATCATATGTAGTACACGTGTACTACATATAAAGGTAGCTAAAATCGCAAAGTGCAACTCGGGACACACATGAACAGTTCTACGATAAATTACAGACAAAAAGCAGGTTTTCAAAATTTTTTAGTAAATTTTCTTAATTGTCATCTTTTTCGCGCTATTTTTTAATGATGATTGTACGTAAAATGATTGCGACTTTTAATATCTACAGTCGTGCATTACTTCAAGAGGAAATTTATATCAGGAAATTTAATATTTCTATTTTTGATTAATAATACTAATATAAATAATGAAAAATTTCCTACATACAAATGTGTGTGCTATATACAAATATCTAGCACATGAGGAATAATTATTTAATAAAAATAATACACAACATCACACACACACCACACACACACACACACACACACACACACACACACACACACACAATGAAAATCCGTTTTATCTATATGTGAAATAAAGTATTTTCTACAATGAATCATTTATTCGTAAAAGAGACAGCTTTTTTAAATTTAATTTTGCAACATCTTTTTGAGATCGCTTATTAAATATATTAGCTGTACAAAGATTACCAATTATAAATAGTTTATTATTAATAATAAGATTGGAAAAGTACAAATTTATACGCGAATAAAAATTGCGTAAAAAATATTTTTAATATAATTTAATTTGTTCTTAAAAGAAAATCAATTTCGAAGTTCTAAAAATGAATAAGTATTTAAGCTCGGTTATCTTCTTTTTTATGAATGCATATTATAATTGAATAACGTATCTTAACAAAGACTTTTTGAAAGTCTCTTTGTTTTAGTCTATTGAAATTCCCGATTTACAACTAATTATATTTAGTTGTTTTTAATCTTTATTAGTCCAAAAAATTAAAATAAAATATATAATTTGTTTATCGGATATGCATATAATTCCGCCTGTCGCTTTTTGAATACGCGGGAATTTTTTCTGTTTGTTCTTATTACATTAACTGACAATTACAACAACAGTTTCTATGTTGTATGTAACAACAAGAAATACCCATAAAGTATAGTAACAAACTAAACATTTATAAAATATTACATTATCTTCATTTTAAATAGAAAATATTACATACATTTTTATTTTGCAAAAATGGAAGGAAAAGACAGATAGATTTTTAAATGTTATTTATAATCGAAAATGACTCTTTGGACAAAAAGTTTTATATTTAGTTTTTACATAGACTCGCTCTCTTTTCATTTATACCTATTTATACTATTTACAACGAGGAGCATTCTTTTTATTATGCGTATCTACCTTGAAAAATTATCTATCCGCAAAGCAAATGTATTAATGACGTCTCTGATGTGATTATATTAAATACTCCAAGCATTAATATTTTTTTTTATATATTATCAATTGCTAATTGCCAGAGTTGCTTTTATATATATATATATATTTACATTTACATTTTTATACATTTTTTTAGTAGTAGTTGACTCCTTGGAATTATTCAATATATATAATACATACATACATAAATTTTGAATAATTCCAAAGGGTCACACAAATTACTACTAAAAAAATGTACAGTGATTGCTAATTATGGCAATACAACATACTTTATTGCTAGCATTGCTATTGTATTGCTAGTATTGTTTTCATGTCAGTAATACTGCGATCTATTACTTCATGTACTGCCTATTGCGCACAATATTGTCAAATATTGCTAATGTATTGCTAGTATTGTACTGCCTTAATATATTTTTAAAGAAGTGTTTAATATAGTGATTGATCTCTCGAATAATTCTCATGCTTTGCAAACGATATTAAAACAAAAATTAATTAGAGAGCGAAGGAGAAAAAAGAGATTACAAAACCGATCTTAGGTATACAAAATGTTTACCTTAAAAAAAATTTGATCTTTACTGTGTAATTTATTCAGTACTATTTATAATGAACGACGAAAACTTTTTATACAATTGTATCAATTGTGTTAATTTAATAATACTATCGGCTCTTTCTTTCTTATAGTATATAGTTTTGCGCGATTGGCTAATCATCTGTCCGCTTTAAATTCTGCGATTACTGAAACTTCTACAATAATAGCCGGAATAGCAACATTCTATAAAAGCCCTTCTAAGGATGATGGGACTATATACATATATTATACAATTTTATATTTTTAAAACATATACATATTTTAAACAACAAGAAACATTAAATATTGATACATATATTATACATATATTATACAATTTTATACTTTTAAAACATATACATATTTTAAACAATAACAAGAAACATTAAATATTGATATATTCATTCTTTATATGTCGTATTACAGGGTTCCGGATATTTAAAGCGTGCAAATACAGAACGCCTCCATGAAATTTTTAACCAGGTAAATAAACAGAAAGTGCTTGAAATTATTAGAAATATTCTTAAACTTTCAGTGTTATTTTTACAAAAATACATATAATTTTTAATAATTTAAAAAATTGCTTTTATTTTTTATTAAATATTTCTTCTTTTTCTCTCATTTTATGCGCATTTCTCCGACAATGAGCATATTTTGTCGTTCTAGTTTTGAAAAAGTATATTAAATTTATTGAAAATCTAATATATATTTACAACATTTTTACATTATTAAAATTCAATTTGTGATATAATTTTTTCTTCGTGATATAATTTGTGATATAATTTTTTTATCCTTATTTTTGGGGATTTTTTTTTTAAACTTTTGCATGGAATTAACTTTTTGATTACTTGTAATAAACTTTTTAAACTGTTATTAATATCTGCAAATATACATATAGTAATTCTTTCTTTTTTTTTGTGTGTGAAATTATAGTACGCCTCGCAGGAAAAAAATGGCGAGAGATTCATGACTGCGTCTGACTTCGTTCGCAGTTATCTTGGTCTTTACACAGATGCCGATTATAATCCCGATTCTGTCAATTTACTTGCTGGTATCGTCGATACCAGCAAAGATGGGTAAGTTTACTGACAGCGTGTTTAAAAAAGATCACGTTGTTGTTCATTGTATAATATCTTTTAAATGTTATGAATTAGATAATACAAATATCATTTTTTTTCTTAAAATTCCGCAAGTCTTGAAAAAGTTTTCTGTATTTTGTGCGTGCGCGCGCGCGCGTGTGTGTGTGTGTGGTGTGTGTGTGTGTGTGTTTATAAAGAAATTATAGCTAATTTATGAAACAGCATTTCATAAGAACATTTTTTACAATGGAGAAATTTATTTTAACATTGTTTCAGACTCATATCATTTGCCGAATTTCAAGCATTTGAAGGTCTTCTCTGTGTACCAGATGCTCTATATAAAACAGCTTTTCAACTCTTTGATACTAATGGAAATGGAATGGTTGCATTTGGTAAGGACGACGGAAATATTGTTTCTCTTTTTGAAATAATTTATGTGTCTTTTATATGGATGTATATTGTCAATTTACAGACGAGTTCGCTGAGGTGATGCAGAAAACTGTACTGCATCAGAAGATGCCCTTTAATATGGACAGCAGTTTTATCAAACTCTACTTTGGAAAGGATAAGAAAAGACTGATCAGCTATGCAGAGTTTAGTCAGTTTTTGCATGTAAGTATCATATTGTATTGCGCTGCGCTTGATTGCGGATTTGCTTGTTATTTTTGTTTAGGAAATAAGCCAAGTGTGTCGTAACGAATGACAATGATTATGAAATACGTATACATACGTATATAGTGCTGTACGTTTATTTTGTCTTTCACAGTGACATATAATATACATATATACAACTCAACTGAGGTATCTCGAAAAGTCATAAAGTGACGCTTCTTATTTCAAAATATTTTTCATATGTTTTACGAAAAAATTTGTTTCCTTATATATAAAATAATAATAATTTTAAGATAACGATTACAAATTGATTTGATTGAAGCTAAGGTAATTTTTACTAATAATGCTTGTCTTTAGGATTTTCATGAAGAATATGCAACCGAAGCCTTTAAGAAATTTGATAAGGATGGCGCGGGTTTCATTTCTGCGTTAGATTTTCAAGACATCATGCTCAGTATTAAGAGTCACTTACTCACAAGAGATGTAAAGGATAATCTAATTGCTGTAAGTATTATTTGGATTATCTAGAATATTTAGAAGATTTTGTAACTTGACAACTGAATTTTTTTATACTACATTCTATAATTACAATATGTATGAAAATGTGGACAAATTATTTAAGTTATATATGTTTAATGTGTTTGTATGGAGCATTCGTTAATTGCAAGTTAATAATAATATTCAATTTTGAGTTATATTTTAATATAAGATAGTATTGAAACTTATTTAAACACTTGGCATGTGGTACTGAATTAATGAACTTCATTTTTATACATCACACAGGCAGTTGGTGCCGGTCAAAGCGGGCGAAAAGTCAGTTTTCCTTACTTTATGGCATTCAATTCTCTCTTAAATAATATGGAGCTTATTAAACGTATCTATTTAAATGCGACCAATGGTCATAGATACCAAGAAGTTACCAAAGGTAATGTATTCTAAATGAAAATGTGTAAATAGATATATATATATATATTGAATTTCTTTTTTCTTGCTGTTGATGTAGAAATTATGAGAAAACAAAAAAAATATGTTTAATTTTAATAATCAGTGTAGTAGTGAATATGTTTCATTAATCAACAGCACTTTTACGCTTAATTTTCATCCATACATATTTAGTATGCAAATATCTATAGATCAATTAAATAGATATTTAATAGATTTTATTATTTAATATTAATTAATATTTTTTTATGATAGAGGAATTTCTTTATTCTGCACAAATGATGTCCCAGATAACCCCCTTGGAAGTGGACATTTTGTTTCATCTTTGCGATTTACTTCATCAAACTGGGTGAGTATTTCCGATTTGACTTTGAAATCGACAATAGAATTTTTCTGTTTGTTAATTGATTGAGGAAATATTACATGGAATGGAGCAGTCGCTTTAACATTGATCTCTTAACAAAATGTTAAGAGAGTTTATTAATTAAAGAGCTATTCAAGAGCTCTGGTCAACAAGACAAATACATAAAGAAAATAAGTCACGTAAAACTATTGTTGCACCATCAAGCACATCGTCATCATCCAAATCAATCAAGTATGTCTCGTTCTTGGCAATGAAAGTTGACACTATTTTACAGAGCAGTTCATTCCTAATAGCCAAACTCACTATATGTATCTACAATGCCTAACTATATATTATTGTCTAATATTTAAATAATATTGAGACATATTTCGTATATTGAAAACATTTATTTACGTGTTTACGCTGCCTGGATCAGACCTACGGAAGATGACGAAGCAGATTCGTGGCTTGGGTGCGTCTTTGTATTACAGACCATCACGTGTTATGAATATATCCTATGTGTATGTATGAGCGGACGCGTACGCGCGCACACATACACGCACACACGCATGCACGCTCGCGCGCGCGCATGTGTATATGTGTATACTATACATGTGTTTTTTAACAATACTTTTATCCTCATCTACTTTCTTCAATATCTGTCTTAGAACGGTGGTAATACAAATATTTACACGCCATGAGCATACTAATCGATTCTTTATCCTGTATTAAGACAGATACGATCTAAGGATACATGATGAATAATATTCAGGGGCAGGGCTCTATTTATAATAAATAGTACTGCTTCAAACAGCGCTATACCTTCTTTTATCTGTACTTGTAGCCTTCTTTTCATATGCTTTGTTGCTACAACTATATATATGTACTGAGCTGGCATCATTCCTTGTTTCAGAAAAATTGTATACAATGACCTTGTGGCTATTACACCCGAGCAATATTTCAAACAAATTACAAAGCGTATTGCCGGGATTAAAGCAGTATCGGTATGTATCAGAGATTTCTTAAATTAAAGACATCAATCAAACATTCTTGAAAGCACTGTTTAAAGTCTACTTTAATCGATCTACGAATTTGTGTCAGAATTCAAAAATTTTAAAATTTTATTTATAATTTTATGTGTGTCGCACAGTACATTTAAAGGATTAGAAATAGATACACATATGGGTATATAAAATTTATTAAAATATATTTATATGTATGTAATTATATGTATATTTCAATACATAGATACATGAAATTATCAGTAAAGTTTTGTTTTGAAATCCAAAACACAAATTATAGGCCGTCTACAGAAAACTAAAAGAAATATTTAATATTTCTTTTAAACATTTAATGTTTATACCAGTAAGACACCGAATAATATGTTGAAAACTTCGTACTAAATGGTATATCTTCGATTGGACTAGCTACATAACTAATAGAACGTACATTCGAGCATACACACGTTTTTATGTCAGACTCAATTCATTCGCAAACCAACGAATAAATTATGAACTAGTTTTACATTGACTTTAGACTCGTGTCTATTTACACCTTCAACACTTAATGTTTAATGTTTGAATATTGACTGGATTATATTACCTTATTAACGACGAGAATTGTGTCATGTCTACGTGTCCACATGTTAAAATGGATTATGGATGTGATTGGTAATTAATAATTTTGAATTGAATATTAGCGGATAATATGAAGGCTCCTAATTAAGTCGTCGAACGTTTCACACATTAAATTTTAATAAATATACATTATTATTTAGTACTTTCTCGCTCGTTCTGTATTGGTCTTGAATCGTTCCTTATTAAATATCTAATTATTTAATTTAATAAGGTAAATATTACTTTACAGAGTCCAGATGAACGTGGTGTTTTGGTACAAATACTCGAAAGTGTGTATCGATTTGCGCTTGGTTCCATCGGTGGAGGTTCGTACATAAGAATATTTTTTTATTCAAAGTTATATTGTATAAATACACTATTTGAAGCTTGATAGTGTTTTATTTTTATTATTATTATCATTATCATGTCTATCATCATTATCATTACACTATAACGAAGTATAATAAATATGAGAATAGAAAAAAGGAAAAGTATCTGTCGTTTGTTTAAAAAATTATTTTTGTTATATCATCTTCAAGTTGAGAAAAATTCAATTCTGCGGATTCTACTAATTAACACTTGAATATATGTCGCTTGTTATTTCCTAGTCTTCTAAGCATCTGAAAATGTAAAATTAAGAATTTATATGTGTTAATAGAGATGATCGAAATTTGATACATGCAATTTCAAATAAAAAATATTTTTATCAAGTGATATATTCTTTTTGAAAGATCTAATAATTGAAGTCCATTTATATTAATGTATTATCAATTACATTGATACTGACTTTATTTGTATATTATTCGTCTAATCTTTTTTTTCCACATACAAAGTTATCGATATTATAAAATGATTACGCGCACGCAAATGATAAGGAGTTAAACCAAATTTCTTTGATATAGAACATATGTGCGGTTCTACATTTTTCAGTATTAATTGTAAGAAGAAGAAAAGTATACATTTAGGCGTTTTTAGACGAATATTCATTTAATATTAGAATTTTAATAATAATTCATTAAAGAAACAAAGATATTTTATTTTTTCCTTAGCTGTTGGTGCTACAGCTGTATATCCTATCGACTTGGTGAAGACTAGAATGCAGAATCAGAGGACTGGATCTTTTATAGGCGAGCTGATGTATAGAAATAGCTTTGATTGTTGTAAAAAGGTTGGAATTGAAAAGTCTCACCATGTAACACTCTCTGCATTGTTAATCATGAAGCTGGTCTTTTGCGTTTGACAGGTGATTCGGCATGAAGGTTTTTTCGGTCTTTATCGAGGTCTGATGCCTCAGTTAATGGGTGTAGCCCCAGAAAAGGCTATTAAACTTACAGTTAACGATTTTGTCAGGGATAAGTTTATGGATAAAAATGGAAATTTACCGCTATATGGAGAAATTGTATCTGGCGCCTGTGTAAGTTCTTGATCCTTTTTCGTATTTTTACTACTTTTCAACTTTACTACTTTTTCGATTGAACGCGATTAAATGTGAATCGCCATTTAAAACAATCAAAATAGGTTGAATGAGCAAGACTAAATATAATAGACAAAAAAGCATGTAATTATTGTTTTCTTTGTGATAATAACGCAATAAGATAACGCAGCGACTTGGATACTCTTATAGCATTATATTCCTATCGCACTAAATTTCACTAATTGAAGACCAGAGAAACGTAAACTGTACAAACAAGGCTGATTTTTTTTGTAGGCTGGAGGATCGCAGGTCATATTCACTAATCCTTTGGAGATAGTAAAAATTCGGCTACAAGTAGCTGGCGAGATTGCAGGAGGATCAAAAGTTAAAGCGTGGACCGTTGTCAAGGAATTAGGTCTTTTTGGATTGTACAAAGTGAGTAATTAAGTGCAGGACAATAATCATAATGCCGACTCATATTGTCTTTCCCGTATATCTGCACTTACACAAGCCAGGATGTGACACTGATTTGAATTTTGTTATAGGGTGCTAGAGCCTGCTTTTTGCGAGATGTGCCATTTAGCGCAATTTATTTCCCCATGTATGCTCACACGAAAGCGCGATTGGCCGATGAAGGGGGTTATAATACGCCATTGTCACTTCTTTTTTCCGGCGCGATCGCCGGTGTACCTGCAGCAGCGCTGGTCACTCCTGCGGATGTGATAAAGACGAGATTGCAGGTACATTTCTCACTCGCGCTAATTACTGCCGCGGTACCAAAAATTACCATTCTTATGATAATTTGGTGGTTGTCACGCGTTCATTTCAGGTCGTAGCTAGAGAAGGTCAAACTACGTACAACGGATTGTTAGATTGTGCGAGGAAAATATACAGAGAAGAAGGTGCCAGGGCATTCTGGAAGGGCGCGACAGGTATATTATTTTACTATATATTTGATTGACAAAAATAAGGCTCTTGAAACAATTATTAATATTTCCTGCATGCACATTGGCAAGTCTTTAAAAAATTTACAAACGCTACTATATCGTACTTTATATATCAGCAAGATGATGAAAAGATGATGATCAGTAAGATGTTGCAAAAGAAATAAGTAAACTAAGTACATAATATAACAATATTTCTTGTCTCTTCTTCTTTTTACCATAAATGATTGATTGATGATGAAGATATTTTCCCTGTTTCAAGTTAAATATCTATAGTTATCTTTTTGAAAAGAATAATTAAATCGGTTATAATTTATTTATTCCTAATAAGGTGTAAAGTAAAATGAGGTTCTCATGGTTTTTCCGTTATAATTTTAAAAGTATCATTTAGTAATATATTTTGCTTTGGTCGATTGCATGCGCGGGGAATCAACCCTGCTGCATCTTTCAATCTTATTTCCTCCCCCATATGACCCGGCGATTTACTTATCAGTAAGTACTTGGTTTTCGTCTTCCTTTTATTTACGTTTTCTCCCAATCTACAATAAACATACTTACCCTTTGTATTCAGAATGTTTATCAAATCTAACGTGTCCTAAAACATCATATTTACATATATTCGGGTTATAATTTTGAAAGTGCAGGTCAATAAAGGAATTATCTTTTTAGGACATACAATATGCGTGTATTTCTGTACACCATGTAACAATGTAAAAATAATTCTTTTTATGTACGAAAAAATCGATTTGTCCGTAAAAGTGGAGACGAAATCTATAAACGTGCGTTTCGTCTCACGTGGGTTCAAGTTATTTATGCATAAGATTTGTATGCACATTTCAAGTTTAGAAGAGGTCATTTCAATCGCGGTTCAAGATCAAATTTTGCAATTGTCTGAAAAGTCAAAATGATATATTTCCATATAAAATGGTTCACTGTTTGGTGTCTGAAAGTGACAAAATTAAAGCAATTGGTACTGAAAAAAATGCATTTTTAATAAAAAAAAATTGCTCTATTGTTTCCGTCCTCTAGTTATCATATCTTTTTTATTATCATTATTTAACAAAGAAAATCGTAGAAAAGCCAAAAAAGAGAGAAATTTAAGCGATTTTCGACTAAAAATGTATTTTTTCACTATTTTACTCTGTTTCGATCGTTTTAATTGTATCATTTTCAGTGACTAATTTTACATGGAAATACATTATCAGACAATCGAAAATTTTCATCTTGTATCGCGATCAAAGTGACCTCCTTTAAACTTTAAATGTGCACATAAAACGCAAATAACTTGATCTCACAGAACAGAACGCTAGTCCGTTCATCTCTACTTTTTTTAAGGACATACTTATCGATTTTTTCAATGCAAAAAAATTTTTTTTATTAATCGATGTGTTTATACAACTACTTCAAAATTTTTATATCTTCATCGAAAATAGTAGCAATACAATCTTATTAATTATATTTATAATATACACTTCTCAAAAAGAGTTAATATATAAATTTTTCTTCACACCGCTTAACACCGCTAAAAATATTTACAAAAACAAAATCATGAATGGTTATCAGAATCTTTATTTATGTAGATAACTTAACTTAATTGAATAAATAATAATGTAATATTCCATGAATGAATTACGATATAATATTCTATAAATTATATTTACAGAAGACACATAAATTTCATTTACAGTTGCATTAATAATAATTATAATCGTTGACTTATTAATGCGCTGCATTATTAAGCTTTCATTTATTCAATTAAAACATATTGATAAATCCCACACAGTACACTTCATTCGAAAGATAAATATCGTTATTAGGACACAGGATATCCTTTGTACGTCCTGGAGATGTCTTTAGGACATTCCTTTGGAGGACTGTATTGTATGGGATATTTGTTCAAAAAAGGGCAATTGCCAATTTTGTTTCTCTGATCTTTCTCTTGTTGATTTATAAGAGTATGTGAAAAATATATAACATGTGAATATAGCATATGTAATTTTTGTAAGCTTTATTTTGCATCATGTTTTAAAGTCTGGATTTATTGATTTTTATTAATTAATATTTTCTCAACTTTATTGACTAGCATTTTCTCAACTGTAGTTAATATTTATTTACAGATATCTCATAAAATTAACTGCGCTATAAATAAAAATATTATCGCATTTGATATAAAATGGCAGAAATTAAAACTATATTATTACTATTTATAACTATTATCATCATTTTTTTAAATGTTTGTTCTATAGGTGTGTATTTGTTTTATCTGAAAAAAAAAACATAGTTATCCCCGCAACATGCTTGTTATCAAAGCGTCTTATCTTTATTTACACAAAGAATATGCAGCAGTGTACATTTAAAATAAATAACCTTTATTATATATATATATATATATATATATATATATATATAATTGTGTATATATTGAATATCACATGCTTTTCTATTTTTATAGCTCGAGTGTTCAGATCGTCACCTCAGTTTGGTGTCACTCTCTTTACGTACGAGTTGCTGCAAAGACTGTTTGTTGTCGATTTTGGAGGATCGTAAGTATTCAAGAAATATAAAAGTGCGCGCGTTGTGTGTATGTGTGTAAATTAGAAAATTACATGTGACTATATTATGCAACTAGGAATTAATATTTGTAAATTTATCGTTAATTAACGGCTATAATTAGCTAAATCGATTTAGTAGATGTTTATTCGAATTTTATATAATAATCATTATTGACCTTTAAGACGTCTCTTGACTAGTCACCATAGTGGAATCGTGACATTATCAGCGAGAAATGACACGTTAAAATTTCTTACATGCTATGTAAATAAAAATTTGGATGAAACAAAAAAATGAGATGGCTTTAAAACACTTGTAAAAATGGACGGAAACTATTCTTTTCCTCTCTGACAGTAAATAATTGTAAAAAGCACGAAGTGAAGGAAGCTGTTGAAAGGAGTGAAAAATATGCTTTTACATATAAAATTGAAAGATAACTACTTTCCAATCCATTTTTATGAATTTGATAAGTACGAAACACATGACATTTTCATAATTGAGCACATAAAAATGAAATGGCAAGACAAAATTTCACAAACCAATATGTATGCGATGAATGATCAGGAATTTCAAGCTTGATCAGAAAATTTATAATTTAGAATTATTAAAGTTTAGGATAGGAATCGATAGTGTGTGACTAATTATTATTGATATAAACTTTTAAAATTGCAAATTTCATTTGATATAAGATATTTACATTATAATTTATAAATCTGCAACAATATTTATATTGTTTACAGTCGACCTACTGGCTCGGAACAAAAGGTGCCTGCTATGGGAGTTGCAGATGAAATTCGATCAACAAACCCGGATCATATAGGCGGCTATCAAGTAGCTTTGCCCATCTTCACGGGTATAGAAACCAAGTTCGGTCTTTCCTTACCCAGGTTCCAAGCTGTTACCGGAAAGTAACAGTATTATTAGTAACTGTGCAAGAAAACAAGCTTGTAGCAATCCCTGCCATAAATAATCTACGAATATCATCAAACGCTGATTGCTTCACTGACTGTGTGTGAAGCGGATGTGATGCGTGTGAGCTTCATAAACTAGGAATTATGAATCCGCTCCATCTTCTCATCATTCATCTCGACCATTTCGCTATCATGTAAACTAATTGAAATCGGCATAAAAGAATCGGATCGTCGATTGATATTAACTTGATGCATACGACATAGGTGTATACATGATCATAAAATGTAACTTAGATCGATTGAGGATGAGTACAAAATCCGTTATTACGGAATGCCCAAGAACGCTCGTGATAGCTAAGTCGATGCAGTCAATTGACACAAGAACAAAACCGATGGCATTAAAACTATTTATTTTGATACTGTATAGATACGTCAAATTGATGCCATCTATATGTAATTATTGTACAATGCAAGAGAGAGAGAGAGAGAAAGTGTGTGTTGAGTGTGTGCGTGCGTACGTGCGTGTATGCGTGTGTGTAACTATCAACAATTTGTTATTGTTAACTTGAAATGTTTCTGGCGGTACGCGTATATAGTAACTAATTGAATGTATGTTTGTTAAATGGGAAACGGAGGATTAATACCAAGAAATGTGATGTTTTAGCGAGGGTTACAATCCGCGACATGTACGTACGTACTACGTATATAAAGCTCAGAATAACAAATTAGCCTCTATAATTACATTTATTATTTATCCAAATGCCTAGTTGTGTAATTTTTGTTCGATGAATAAAAAGCCGGTAAATTTGTTTTTATCATTTGTTTGTCATACACAGTTGCAAAATAATTGTTGATAAATAATATTCATATACATATATATCTATTAGCGAATCGAAAAAATGGAGAAAAGAAAAATACTATATTATTAATATTGTTATTATAAACATTTTTATCTATTAAAACTGTGCGTGCGTGCGTGTGTGTGTGTGTGTGTGTGTGTGCGTGTGTGTATGGGTGTGGGTGTGGGTGTTGCAGTAATATGTATTAAAATACAAACCATTTTTGACATTTTAAACTAATTCAGAAATTATAAATAAATTTGATATTGATTTAAATTTGGATTTGCAATTTTGATTAAAACGAATTTATTGGCATTCGAACACCAATTCTATAATTACACGAATGTATAGAGAATTAAGAACGTTAACGCACATAATTTTTTACAAATTTTTCAATAATCACAAATGATATTAAAAATATGTATTAAAATGTATGCCTCTGTATTATTTTTCTTTTATTGCAAAAAAAAAAAAATATATATATATATATAGAGCTGAAAGAAAAAGATTTTCCGAAATAACTCTGATCTGCAAAACAGACAGTATAAAATTCATTGAATGCACAGACTTCTGTTAATATATTATATTTATCTTCTAGTGCAAAATGATTATGAATTTTAATCAAATTGGGGATACGAGATAACAAAGTTATTGTTTACAATGGCAAATATATCGAATAAACTTTTTTAAAACATTTGACATATTTGTGATATTTTTTGAGCAAAATATTTCCTAATAAATTAACCTTGCGATAGTCCGGTGAAAATTTCATTTATTGTCCATTAGTTAAAATTAATCGATTCGAGCACAATTAAAGCCAAAGATCAAAATAAATAAATATTGAACTTAAATTGGTTCTTTTAATTGATTTGAAAGCTCCTGTAAAATGTTTCTTAAAAACTTTTAATCGAATTGCTTTTGTTGATTCGAATCTACTAGAAACAAAAATTATCTTCATTTACATCATATGTCTGATGATATTTATAGCACTGTTATTGGTGAGTATAGCATTTCATTAATGAATTATGTCCGTAATACACAGCTCTCAGGTCGTGTACGTATACGTAGAAGTAATATGTATAAATTATAAATTAGAACAATGAATCTATAAAATTGCATGAAAAACGAAGAAACATGATTCAAGATATCTGCATATCTTATTTAAATCAAATTCATAATTGCCATTCAAAGTTTCATTACATTTTTAGAAAATATATTTCCGAGTACTCAAACAAATTAATTTCCATACTAATTGCTACTCCGCTAGTTTTCCTATTTCTTGGATTTCTTGGAGATTGATACAAATTACACCCTCAATGCCCCTCTAACACATTTTAATTATAATGATAGCCGCTACACAAAAAATCAAATGGCGCGTTTCTTAGTCATTACGATGATTTATTATTATTTTATTATATTTAGTAATATAATTATAATTTAAAATAATTATACTCAATAAAATTTAAATCAAATAGAAAGATTTGTAACCCATAGATTGCTCTTGCTAAATATTAGATAGTTTTATATAAAACATTGGATTTTGACAATTTTTAAGTAATTTATGACGCTCTTTTAAGTAACTTATAAGTTTTTATAATTAATTATTTGTAATAATTCGTAGTTATTGGTAATTTGCATCACAAATTAGTTGTAAGTATATTGTGTGCGTAGAAAATTGTTTCATCAACGTTGATTCACTGTGAAAAAAGGTAAATCCAAATAGCACAGAAAATTCAAAAATAATTCCTTTAAATGCCCAATTTATGAAATGTATTCTTCCACTCCATTTTTTGTTCAAAAATATTCTGAAGAATTTCAAAATATTTCACTTTTATGTCACCAATTTTGCTCTTTTTCTGATACAAAAGAGAATGTTCGTAGGTATAAGAATTTGCAATAAAATATCGAAAGATTTTAAATAATATATATCGCAGCAAATATACATATATAATTCTCAGCTTGAGAAATCTTAGGAATATTAGGGTCTTAAAATTAATTTTTACAAAGAACTAAACGAAATTGTACTGCAGTCAAAACATTTTATTTATATACTTTTATCTCAAAGTTCAATTTTTAAGGCTCACAAACTTTCAAGGTATGCACATACATTTTCATCATCATTTTATTAGAATATAATTGAGAACTCTCATATAATTCTACGCTTTTCATTATTGTATCCTGTATGGTTTTTTACTTATGAGAATTAGAAATTTACTGCGTTTCATTTATTGGCGTTATAATCCACGTACATTATTACTCACGAATAAGCGCTTTTTTTAATCCATTACGAATAGAAAAAGGATTTCTTTCAAAGCACTTCAATATAACTCTATAAAAAGTCAAAAGGCACGTACATTTTCATTGAATTGTTTTTAAATTATCGGAAAAGAATTCTTTTTGAATTCATAATGATCACCTGTGCTATTTGGATTTTGTACTTGATCGTATCATTATATTTATTCTCAATGTAACACCAATAATTGCCGTATAATTAATCGCCGACAAGTTTCTTTGTCTATTAAAATGTTATCGTCGCCAGCATCTGTAATATTTCCAATAATGTAATTAATTATACTTATTTTAATATAATATTACAAATGATATTGAAATAATTTAGATAGTAATTTAGTATGTCACACAAATAATGTTAAAATAATTTAGATAAGACATATGATTGATTTTGTCACGTAATTAATTTATTTCTGTATTATTTGTATTAAATATAAATACATATATAGAAAAAACGGATACAAATTAGATTCAACATTGCTATCAATATAGCAAATAAACATTACATGGACGAGAAAATGTTTTCACGCAATGGAAGGCCTTTGGTTCGATGCGAATCAATACAATTGCTCAATAATAAGGAGTGCTCGAGCGAATGCTTATATAGTGTCAAGTGAGCTGAATAAATTTCGAATGTGTAATCTAGTGAGTAGGGACCACTGTTTCCGAAACATCATTTTTATGTGCGTGATTTAATATACACACTGTATATATGTATATTAACTTTTGTATTTTGAGTTTCTTCAAAGTATGAAGTAATTATTAACAAATTTAATATCGTCTTGATCTTCGAAAATTAAAACGCCAATTCTTTGATTGTAGATTGTAGGTTTCAACTTTATTTTTTTTTATAAATATCTATCCTTTCTAAAAAATAAAAAAAACAGTCTTTTTCATTTTTATTTTATTTCAATTAATCATCGGTTTATTATACATAACAATTGTTTCATAAAAATAATTTATTGTTGGAAATTTTTTTTTGTTTTAGTTCTCGGTCTTTTAAGCCGAGATGCGATCATAGTAAATGCCATTTCTTCACATTTGCTTGGGGACACACGATGTGCTGTCTCGGTGACAATTTTAATGTGACGCTCCGTTGTCTTTATATGACAGGGTATTTCCAAATCTTAATTTAATTGCAGCATCTGCGAACATGTATTCTCGGATTTCATCGTCTGACATTGATCGCGAAAAAACAGGTTCGGTCAAATTTACGTTTTCCCAGTCGATTATGTCTATATAGTCGTTGCAATCAAAGTTTATACGGTGATCGTACGGTGAAAACGTAAATTTGATCGAACCTGCTTTTTCGCGATCAATGTCAGACGACGAAATCCGAGGATACATGTTCACAGATGCTGCAATTAAAGATTTGGAAATACCCTGCTATACAGGATGTCCCGAAATTCGCGAATCAAAATATCATAGCAAGAAAGTCTCCGAAAAATTAAGTAAAAAAGTTATTTGTAAATTTTTATTTTAAGCAATAGTTTTTAAGATATAAGGATTTAAATTTAGCCAATTATAAGATTAGTACTCGTGTGAAGTGCGTGACCACTAACACTATCGACGTTCACGAACACGTTTCCGTTTAATCGTAATCTATAATTGGCTAAATTTAAACCCTTATATCTTAAAAACTATTGCTTAAAATAAAAATTTACCAATAACTTTTTTACTTAATTTTTTGAAGACTTTCTTGCTATGATATTTTGATTCGGGACACCCTGTATACAGATAACGGAGCGTCACCGTATTAAAATTATCACCGAAACAACACATCGTGTGTCCCCAAGCAAACGCAAAGAAATGGCATCTACACTGATTGAACCTCGGTTTAAAAGGCCGAGAATTGAAACAAAAACAGATTTCCAAAAATAAATTATTTTTATGAAACAATTGTTATGTACCGATAATAATAAATTGATGATTAATTGAAATAAAATAAAAGTAGAAAAAACGATGTTTTTTTTTATTTTTTGGGAGGGGTAGATATTCATTAAAAAATTTCCACTTGTCACCAAAATTCATCACTTTTTATGCCTTTTCCGAAAATACATGCACAACAGGAGATAAGAAATCGCTGCACCCTAATATCTACACTACTATAAGATTTATACTTATGCAATAATAAGTAACGAATACCGAGCACTAATTAAAAATTTAATTAACACATTATTATCTTTTATTAACTTTATTAATAATTTCTACAGATTATGAATAAAGACTAGACGGATTAAACTAAAACAAATAAAGGAGAGTTTTGAATTCTAATCTTTATCTCAAATGAGAGATAGGTATATTTGTATCTTCTCGATATGTCTCTCCTTAATAAAATGTTTTGATATAAAATAATTACATTATAAAAATTAGCTTGCTTTAAAATAACTATAAAATATGAGTCCAGAGCATATTTTATATATTATACGTACGAGCATGTAATTTTTTTAATATCTTGAAAACTGACAAAAATAAAAAAAGCCGATTGGAGAATTTTGTAAAACTTTGTCGTTACCTTTAAAAATACATATGTTTATATATGATACACAAAAGAATATTTATTTTAAAAAATTATAAAGAAACTTTTTGGTTTATTTACATATGTGTTAACAGATTCTTTTTGTAAGTACTAATTCTCTGACAAAGTGTTTTGATATACAGTGCCAGTATTAAATATTTATAATTTGCTTCATATATTTATATATTATAGATTTTCATTAGTATTGGTAGCGTAGATATATCGAAACATAGTCTCTATATATAGATATAGATTTCTAACTAACTTATTTTATCGTATGACAAAATATAAGGAGGAGAGTCTAGAAAAATGTTTTCATCGGAATTTGCATTCATATTTGACTACATATATAGTTTTTATATGTTTAATATATATACGGTACGTACGGACGTAGGTACGTATGTGCGCGCGCGCGCGTGTGTGTGTATGTGTAATCAGTATCACACTATTTTGCATATATTTACTATAAACTTACTGCGTCATATATACAAATTAATGTGTATAGCGGATCAACTTTTGTGTTTTCTAATTAATTACTATCAATTACTATTATACGATCTACATAATGTATCTGACTGTTTTATTTATATTAGAAGAATTATCTGTTAATATTTATTACACACTATCACAGTCCTACATTTCCGAAAATAATTCGTACACGATGGACAATCTAAAAAAATATTAAACCTCTTTAAAGTCTTCATCCACATTCTTCGTATTATCCATATACGCATAGAGCTCCCAAGTAATAGTAATTTCCATGAGCTGTAATTACGTAATATTTATTAACATGAACATATGTACTGTACTACTAAAGCATAAGACGAAACATTTATTATTACGTATTTATAGAAAAATTAAAGACATTGATTTATAGAAAATTAAAGATAAAATTATACCCAATTATATAGGTATACAACAATTGGAAAGTTATATTAAAGCGTATAAGAGATTCTGTATTTGAAATAAAAATTTACAAATATTTATATCGTTAAAATTACAATTTTATATATATATATATATGTGTGTGTGTGTGTGTGTGTGTGTGTGTGTGTGTGTGTGTGTGTGTGTGCGTGTGCGTGTGCATGTGCGTGTGTGTGTGCGTATGTATGTGTGGAAATCTATAATTTGAGCCTTGCAAGAAGAAATTTTTTGGTTGAGCTTAATTTTGAACAAAGGGGGTGGCCCGCTTGACAGAGAATGCCCTATATGTACATAGTGATAAAATATACTTGGCGGGAGCCGCTACCGCGTCTTCTAATGTGTATGTGTGTGTATGAAATAATTATATTATAAGACAAGTTATAATATACTAACAACATAATCCGGCGTATCTGTTGCTGTAGGACATGCCATAATTGCCGCAGGCAGGTTGGCCTGATTTGTAAGGTTGAAAGCCGAGTACATTTCCACTGGAACGATATAAAACCATATCAAATAATAACTTTTATATCACACAACTCTTCACGTGCATTCACGTTTTTTGATATCTTTAAAAGTCATCTTTCAAAGCATTAACATTTATTATATATGATTCATTATCAGATCTGATAGCGTAGAGAGAAAAAACTGGAATGACAATTTAATTAAAAAATTCAGTTTAAATGTAATTATAATAGAAATAATCAAAGAATATTATATTGTTTCCAATCTCAAAATGGGAGTTTATATTGGAAGTGATGAAATCTTATATCAACATAATTTTAAAACGTTTATCAAGGCTGGAAATGTGTATATTTGAAATATGTATATTGAAATATGATTGCACAAAATTAGAACTTGGAAATATTAATTATTATATATAATAATTAAAATTTCTATAAAGGCGTTGAAAAGTAAAAACTTTAAATATTATTAATTTGATCGTTTTTTCTCGGAATTATTTGTTTGCAAGTTTGTTTATTATACATATAACAAATGCATTGATCCCGAAGGATCAATTTCAACCATTCCTATTATAAACTTCACAAACACACACGCACACACACACACACACACACAACGCGTGCACGCACCTGCTTTATTGACATTTTTTCCAATAAATGTATCAAAATTAATAATATGTATTAGTAATTTGTTAATTTAAAAATAATGCACAAAAGCGTTATTTGTATTCGTAAAAAAATTATTGGAATTATAGAGAGTTATAAAATTATAAATTATTTCTCTTGAAAAAGTATTCTGTCTACGCAAAATAAAAATTTAGTTCTGTAATAATAATACACCACTCGACACAATTTTGTTTGTATTTCCATACTTTAATACCAAAGCAACTAGAATGTAGAGAAAGTGACATTATTTCAAGATAGAATTCTTACCTCGGACCATAGTTGCATACGTAATTCTTGGTGTAGCCGCGAGCCGGATCATAGTAGAACGAATATCCGCATCCTAACAAGAAAGTGTTGCCCCATACCAACTGGAATTAATTCCAACTATTTTTTGTGCATTCATTTAAAAAAAGATTCACACATTTTTCACGTGTAAAAATGAAAAAAAGTCTATAGGTGCACGGAAACGATTGTGCTTTAAATATAGATTTTATAGACTTATAGACTTGATAGCAACCTTTTTAAAATTTCAGCAAAATTTTTCAAGTATCAAATATAGAGAATACTATTTTTCTTGAATCATATTTTGCTTAACATTTTCTTCACTTTTCTTCTAATTTTCTCATAACAAAAATGTTAAAATGTTCAACTAAAATAGGTTTTAAGATGTAAGGATATCATAAGCAAAGGGATTTTTTAAGCAACGTTTTTTACATATGCAATGAAGAATCTAAAATGCAAATATGTTACTAAATGTAAACGTTATTTTTCCTTAAACATAAATTAAAGTCTGATAAACAATTTAAGCATCTTATACTATCACATTTATATGCGCCTTTTCGATAGTCTGATAAATTATTAATAAAAAAGAAAAGTAGTTTTTTCACAAATCCGTCGCTGTTAAACAGTCCATTTCGTAGATCGCGATCTCATGAAAATTCATAAAACAACAAGTTTATATTAAGAATAAGAATTAATTGCGGTTCGGAGACCGATCAAGTCTATAAATTGCAAATTTTTCGGACTTATTTCGAAACTGACCTACGAATGAAATCAATCTCTAAAAATTATTTAATGAAAAAAGAGAAAAAGAAAGCTATTTGCTCATTCAATATCTTTTTTTTTTCATCGATGTAGAAAAACGTTTCAGACTTTATTGTTATATGGACAGCAGAGAGATTTGAAATAAGAACAATTTCATTTAAAAATTTAAAAAATAATTTTGTTTTGATTTGCAAAATATATGTAAGAAATTGATTCTTATTTCTCATTATCGAAGTAGCGATATGACTCAATCTATCTCAATGCAAAAAAATATGTTTGTTAGAAGTAGATTATTCTACAGATCCCATAAATTTTTTTACCTTCCGACGAACTAGAGTTTTTTGTATTTTTTAACGAAACGTATTGTATATTGTAATATCAAATAATAAATTGCTCATGACAGCAATTGCTGCCTTTGTATCGCATATACAGAGATGTAAGAGAGACAATTTTGCTGTGATATAAATATAAATGAAGAACTCTTTTCTTCCGTATAGATATTTTTTTCTGCACATAATATTGTTTCTAACATAAAGCAATTAAAGATCGCGTTAAATTAAACGCAATGATCGAAAAGTCTATAAGCGTTATATTTTTTTTTTTTGAACTTGCAAGCTCTTATTACAGACCTGTGTGTAGTGTCCGGTGGTTTTACTATAACCGGAATGATAGTACTGTACTTCGTTAAACCAACCAGAAATTTGTCGTCTCCAGTTTGGCTCGCCATCGTAAGGTCCAGGAGGCCTGGTCGTCCATGAGCGAGCAATGTTTTGTCCTACTGTGAATCTACCTACAAATCGCAATAGTTTGGATCAATCGTGCGAACATGTGCACCAGAGATAAGTATGTTTGTTGAATCGATAAATATCGACAAATAAATTGAAAACTATTTTTTTTTTCAAGATATCTCATTTTTCATTCCATATTGTACTAACATAGGTACATAACAATACTAACAATACATAAAAGCGAAATGATGGTGAGACATATTTACTACAGTGTCTATTTCTGCCAAAAATAAATACATAAAAAGATTTGTAAATACTTTACTTAATTATATGTATTTTTTTCTTAAAAATATTATTTTTATTTTCGCTCAAGAGTCAAAGGTTTAATTACATATAAACAGTAGTTTTGACAATATCTATATAAATTTATATTTCTTAACATGATGTTTAATACTTAAATCTTGTCTCTCAATCTAATTAATATAATTTTAATTTTGTACTTTTTGAGGCTTGCAGCCTATTACATGTAAGAAAAATGAGTTATAATATTTTTATTTTTAATTGTGGCTTTATTACTTTATCGACAAATATCACTACGAGAGTTTAATTTAATTATCACAATGGAGAGACAAAAAGACAAAAGCGACAAAAGAAATAAAGAAATTAAGCAAAGGAATTTTTACAGCGCTATTTTTCTTTAGCATACTATGTGACATTATATGATAATGTAATATTTTCTTGGCATACTCTCTAAAATATTATAATATTATAATATGTTATTCTCGCGGCCGCACACATTAAGAACATAATATTATTACGCAAATATAGAAAATTGGTAATAAAGTTTTACTTACGGACATTTCTTAAACTATCATGTGATTCTGCGCAATAATCTGCCCATCTTTGTGCTATTGCGGCAAGTTCATCGTCCCATATCTACAGTAACAATGAATATCAATCTTATTACAAGTTACACATATAGCATTAATTAATAATTATACATCTACAAAACGATGCATCTACAAAGTGTTTTAGAATTTTATAATCAACTGTTGCTAGCTTTTGATATTAAGCCAACGACTCAAATGAGTTTTTTTGCGAGAATGCTCTTTTAACACATAAAAATATATGCTTATACATTTTTTATATTTTATGTAATAATTAATATTATGTTATATTTTTGTACTATAGTACATATATAAATTTTACTATTACAAAAATTGAATAAAATATAATATTTAAAGTAACTGCACGTAATTAATTTAATTTTATTAATTTTGCATGTTATCTTTTGATCAACACTATTCATTAACTAACATTATTTAATCCACATGAATTATTATGAAGGATATATATTGTATCTTTTGCCATTGAAAGTGTCGATTTTTCTTAAAATAAATGGAATAAACGCATCAATTCTTACCATCTCCATCATATTTGAGGCACCTGGTTGGCCATGTATCTGTCCCAATGCCACTAGTTGCCTTAATCGATTATGTTCATCCAAGATAATCTGCTTTTCCTCACACGATATACCACCGGACCCTGTAAGGACATACGCGTCTTCAGCTGCTACTTTCCGAACAAATATATTTCACCCTACAGCCTGCATTATTCATCATTAAAAAGCATATTATATGATCACTTTTCCAACAACGTAGATGTATATACATACATGCGTATATATATATATATATATATATATATGTATATATATATATATATATATATACATAATATATATGTATACATGTATATACGCACATTATTATACATATGAATAAAGTAATCAAACAATGTCCAATAATTTTCAATAAATTGCAATAAGTACATTAAACATACGAGTATATTTTAATTAATTAATAAAATGTCTGGAATTGTTTAAAAAAACAATCTATTTCATTATAACAAATATGATTCCCCCGCAGCATAGTGGATAAGTCACTTAAATTTGCGTGCCACCGGAATAATGTATAAATAATAATAATAATAATGTGTTCTGCATTATCTCGCAATAATAAATACACAAATGTCATGCAATAATCATTTTATGATTATCTATTGAATAATTAACTCTCTATTTATAACACCTCTTCACATACATACGCACAATATTTTATATTAAATAATCCAATTGATCATTGAGAAATTATATATTAACGATGTACGTAATTTATACCTTATAATTATATACATATATTTAAACTAAATATCTAATAGCAAAATTTTAGATTTGTCGCACACCATTTTCAATTATAAAAATTGAATGAAAAACATGCTCGTTTGACTTCACTTTCATTTTAAGCAGTTTTTCATCGTACATATTATAAAATACACTATTTGCTTTTCTCTTTTAGATTTTTCTTCATGGTTCCTCTCTTCTTTCTTCTCAATGCTGTTCTTCACAGCAAGCTATGGATTGTGTAACTATCCGAAAAACTTGCTGCGGAAGTTGATTTAGCTACGTTCTCCTTGTCTTTCAGTTGGTGCACAAAAAAACGTACTTGTTCCATAAGTTTAACTTCTCATTAGAACTGAACGAAATGTACGGAATAACGTACGTTCCTTTCGTTATTACTTTATTATGTTCCTAACGTTTCCAACATTGACTCACGGACTAGTTCCTAACAAATTATAATTAGAAAGAAACTGTAAAACTCTAAAAGTTGTTATCTGTAAAAGAGATGCCATCTTTGCAGGATATCCACGCGCGGTGAATGTGCATGTGCGATTGCTCGCAAATTATAAATTTCGCCATTTTTATTTTTTAATTTTTATTGATAAAACGTCAATTGCTGGACGTATTTGTTTAATTTGACAAATATGCGCAAAACATATTTATCAATCTGAAATATTTCTTACATATGTATATAATATCATGTAAAACATATTATATATAATTATTATATTGTACAATTACATATATATAAATACAAATTTCTAAATCACTTATACGCATAAATTATATCTCTAAATAAATTCCAAGAATTTTTATTCATTTAGATGTTAATATTGCAAGTATGAGATTATAATTAACGTATAAATTTCCATAATTATACAATCATAATTATGGAATACATATTAATTCTTATTATATTATACATAACGTGAAAAATATGTGTCTCTATTTATTTGTTGTAAAATTTATGAAACACTAGTACATAACAGGCGCGCGCTTTGCGCGCGCTGCGTGTTAAGTCCCATACATCTTCCAATAACATTTATACCAATTTACATTTTAATTAAACAAATGTTAACAATTTTTGATAAAAAATAAATTTTCAAAAAAAATGATGCTTTGCGCGCAGTGCGTATTAAACTCCATACATCGTCCAATAACATTTATACCAAATTACATTTTAATTAAACAAATTTTAACAATTTTTAATAAAATGACGTTTTAATCGGTCATACTGAATCGGCAATTTTTAAATAAAATCACGACTTTTTAGAAAATAGCCACATAATTTATAGATCGGAAGAGCACACG